GTGTAATAGGCAAAAACTAATAAGATTTGCCTATATTTGGTTTTGTGATTGTATTTGTATTTCCTGGATATAATTATATGTGAGATTTGTTTCCAGTCTTCTTTTGCTTTCAGTGTTCCGTTATTTCACCATGCTCTCATTGCTAATGCATTTTATGTTTAGTGTATGAGAAATTAACAATTCTCTCCTTGTAGTATGTATATTACACAATCACTTCCACTGGCCATTGACATTTCATGCATCTTGTGTCAGTTGTAAACTTTTACTAAGAAGCAGCAGGTGTGTCTCATGGCAAAACACCCCGTGCAGCTATTCGTAAGTAGTATGTGCTCTTATACTTCTCTTGGCCATTCATATATATATATATATATATATATATATATATATATACATATACATATATATATATTCTCTTACTTTTTTGGGCTATCATAAACCGCTACAGACTGGAAGTCTTAGAAAAATTCCAATTGCTCCAAGGAATTTTTATTCTCCATTCCATTCCACTTTATCTGCTGATTGCTTCCATTTAACAATACAGATGATCTATATGCTCTATATGATTCATATTCAATGCTTATGCTATACATGATTTTAACTAAAACTTACTAATAATGTCATCTTGATTGTTTTTTGAACAGGATTGTCATTTTACACAACAAATGAGAAATTGAGAGCTTTGTTTTTGCCTTTCGGCGAGCTTAAAGAAAGTACTTGTTATTTTTTTCCCTTGATCGCATTACAATTTTTTTAATTTATTTCCGGAGTTGATAAGCTAAATTCATTAAAACTTTGGATCAATTTAGCAAGGCTTTTGATAGATCCTAGAACTCAGAGACCCAAAGGATATGGATTTGTGACATTTGAGTCTGAAACTGATGCCCATAGTGCTCTAAAGGCTTTGAATGGAAAGGTACCTTATTTCAAGTTGCATTGTTTTAATTTATGTGCTGTTGGATTATGTTAGGGCATTGAACTATAAAAGAATTATTTGGTTGATTGGTTGGAGAATTCTTACTAGTTTTGCATCTCCCCAATTATGTTTTGGTCTCACTGTGATTAGCCGCAATACATAGTTTTGTTTCTTATGATTGAATGATTGATCATCGATGTTTATTAAACTGTGCTTCTTGGAAAACATTTAATTTGAAATGAAATTTCACTGTGATTTCCATCTGATTGCTTACAATGTTTTCCCTTGTGGACTGTCTGCTGGCATACTGAGGTTCTTCCACTGATGAATCATCCCATCAGTTTGGTTTGTGCTGTGGGAATTGCTGTTTAATAAAATGGTAACTCATCCCACCAGTTTGTCCTATCATTGTAATCAGGTTCCAGGGAATCATTGTGATGATTTTTTGTTAAAACATTTTGATGGAATTTCCTTCATAGATTATATACAAGTTTACTAAACAATTTGTTTAAATATTTAAAAGGGTTTCCGATGAAGCCACTGGCATCTACGCTGACAGGGATAGATTTTTTATGTAAGACTGTTTTCAGATCTTTTCAAAAAGAAGATTCAAGGTTTCTACAACGGTGCTCCTTCGGTCTCATTCACAATGGAGGAGGTGCGATCTTTGGATCTGAAATTTAAATATGCACTTGTTGGAAGGAGTAATGGGAGGATCAGCCTTTCGGTATTGGAGAACTTTCTTCTTAGGGGTGGTTTCTGCGGTTTCAAAATACGGAGATTGGGGTCAGAGATCTTGATCTTATTCTAGTGAGAAGATGATTATCAACGGTTTTTCTACAGGAGGTTTTGGATGATTGGCAAAATCAATTTGTTTTTCCGAAAGTGGACGCCGGATCATTTACCATCTAAAGATTGCCCGGTGGTACTGGTTTGTGTGGAGATTCGTAACATTCCTCTGCATTTATCAGTTCAAATGGCTCTATACACCATAGGGTCTAGATTGGGAAAGCCAATGAAATTGGATCTCAATAGTGTATGGGGGGTCAAGCCTGACTCTGCTAGGATTTCCATAAAATGGATGTCTCCATTGCTAGACCTCCACGTATTCATGTGCGAATGGGTGATCAAGATCTTTGTCTTCCATGTAAAATGTTGCCGATTTGGTCATCAAACCCTTGACTGTAGAAAATCTGGAAAAATGGTCTCATGGGGAAGGCTTTGCATAGTGAGACAGTGATAAATGGGGCAGATAGACGACAAGATGTGCATAATGATGGTTGGGAAATAGTTAGAAGATGGGGTAAGGGAAGGTTTGGAACCACTAAGGCAGAATTGAACACTAGGGTTTGGAAGGTTAAAGATGATAAGTATTGTAAGAACAAATTTGCAGTGTTGGGGGAATGCAAGGAAGTTCTAACTGATAAAGAGGGAGGTTCCAGTAAAGAAAACTATGATAAAGCTTTTCCATTGATGGCCATGGTCCAGCCAGTTCAGTGAGTTCACCTACCTTCATATAGGGACATCCATCAACAAAAAAAATTGATGTATCTGAGTAGGTGAACAGAGTGGGGGGGGGGGGGGGG